TAATATTATTATATTATTAATAACATTTTTTTGATATATATCATTATTTTTAAAAATAATTGTAATAATTCCAGATTATTTCATATTCAATAGTTGATTTCTTTTCAATTTGTTATTATGTTATAATTAAAAATGAAAAAGAAATTACTTTTCCATTTCAAATTAAGTAAATTAACTTGAAATAATTAATATTATATATTAAGTACGGAACATATGTTACATTTGCATTATATTGAAAAGCTTAATACTTGATGATTGAATATTAAAAATATTAAATCATTGAAAAATTAAATTAATACAGCAATTATGAAAAGAAGTTTGATCTTAAAAAATTAGATAGATAAAATTAAATAAAAGGTAAATAAAATTTGGAATAATATTCATATATAAAATATAATCAAAATAAAATATAATATATGCTATACTGCAATTTGATTGAATGAATTTTATATAAATTAAATATATCAAAAAATAACATATAGAATCATTACAAAAATAGAATTGTAACATTATAATTAGCCTAATATTTTTGCTTATTTATGAAAAGTTTTATGAAAGACGTTGAAAGTGAATCCTGTGGGAAAAGTTTCTCAAGAGCATGTAACTTTCTCTGCATTAGACTGCTTTCCCAACTTCTTTCCGCCTTCGTACTATACATATGTACATTTTCAGTCAAGCAGAACGACATAAAAATCACCTGCGAATTCGTCTTTCGCAATTCTATTGAATCACATTAAAAATAGTAATCAAATCAAGTAATTTTATTTATTATATTTATATGTTATTAATAAGTTATTATATTATAAATGATAATAAAATGATTAAATTTATATTTATTTATATTAATCTTGTATTTAAAAATTATAGAAATTGGTGAGAAAACCTTCATTTTAAATAATTATCAATTTTTCTATACATAGAAGTAATAAAAGAAATATCAAGTTTAAGTCAACTTAATTTTATAAAATGAAATGATATATTTTTCTACTTATCTTTTATTGATGTTTTGAAAAAAGTACAATAATTTATAGTTGACAATTATTTTAAATCTGATATGATAAATTATTTCATGATTGATTGTTTGAATATTTTCTTTTCTGATTATAAATATTATTATGCAAATTGTAACATGAATAAACATTCAATTCAAACATTGAATATTAATCTATGAATATTATTATTAATTATATGCAATCAATTAAAATGCAAATTTATATTATTCAATTTTCATTATATGAAGTTGGAAAGTAATATAAATAGGAAAGTAAATAAGATTTTCATTCATGATAAATGTCATTAAATTGTGAAAGGAACAAAACATTTATTATAAAACTTTTTTAGAAAATCGAAAATATGAATGATAAAACAATTTAAGATAATTAATAAAATAATTTATTATTTTAAATAAAAACAAAAAATTTATTATTTAAAAAATAGCGAAAAATATTTATATATAAAATATACTATCCAAAATAAAATAATGAAAATGAAATTAATATATATCATTAATAAAGTATTTCTAAAATACATTACTTCAAGAAATACTGTTCTTTTCAAATTTTATTTTATCAAAAATTAAATGAAAATGATTTTCAAAACTATTTATAATTTTACGAATGAAACTTATAAAAATTACAAAATGGAAAAAATAATGATTTTAACTAAAATTGAAGCTAAATTTATAATATTATAAAAAAATTCTATAATATTTTATCTAATATTTAAAATTTTATAATATTAATTTTTGCAATATGTGTTCTTGATTAATAAATAATAATTTATAAGTTTGAACAAAAAACAATAGACAAAAATTTTGCTCTGTAAATATTTGATACGGATTTAATGCGGAATAAAATACTTGGTGCATATTATTAATAAAACATTAATTAGTCGTAAATATAAATAACAGGAGGAGGATAATAGAAATTTTGTCAAAATTGTTAATATTTTATTGAACTCATTAGCACGATCAATAATACTTGTAAAATAAATATATAATATCTGTAAAATAAAATAATATTATGCTTATACGAAGTATTATGGAATTTCTAATAGAGAAATTTAAAAGTTAGTGAATTAATCAAGTAGATAATAATTCATATTTTTAGCTTTCTATTTATTAAAAAATTAAAATTTTATTAAAAAATTAAATAAGTATTTAAGTATACGAGATATATTCCAATAATTAAAGAAAATATGAAAGAATATATAAAAGAGTTTGTTTATAATATGTATCAATATTCAAAATCGTATTATAATACCAAAAATATTAATTAATGTTTATTTTCGTAATTTTTGTATATTAATTAATTTTTTAAATAATTATTAATAATTATTATTATATTTTTAATAATTATTATATAATTTTTTAATAATTATTTTCAGTTAAAAATGAAAATTATTTTTCAATAATATAAAAATGAGCGTAATTAGTATAACTTGATATATTTTTTAATATATATATAAATTATGATATATTTTTTAATATTATAAATATTATATTCACAATATTCTGTTATTCAATATGTTATAAAAAATATCAATTTTCGTATATTTTATATATTTTTATTGATCGGTTATGAGTTTATGATATGCAATTTAATTATTATATTTTTATAACTTATCATAATAAAAACTTTATTCATAGTTTTACATAGTTTTACATATTCCTTTTATGCAGGATTTTCCAAATTTTTATGAATCAAGATCACTTTCTAATACAATTATTTTTCACGCTTTATTTGTTTATATGCATATTTCAAAAAGATTTGAATAAATTCAAAAGCGATATTTTTTATTTAAATCTCATATTTATTATATTTAATATATAATAATATATTTAATATAATTTATAATATTATATTATAATATATTATATAATTAATAATATAATATAACAATATAGTATATTTATTTATCAGATTATATAATATACATATATGTGATATATTTTTTTTTTGTTTATTGTCTTTTTTGATGTTCTTAATATTTAATCTGACTTATTTGTATAGGATATATATTTTAAGAATCTCTATTCTTATGTATTCTTATGTATATATAAAAAAGTTATTATTTATAGATAATAATATCTATAGAATAGAATTGAAACAAATTTCTACATTTGAATATAAAATATTTTGTTTTGGAAAATGTAAAATACAATAATTATGTTGACAAAAATATAGACATTGTTTGAAACGATTAATACATTAATAAAATTTTACACGAAAAACAATTTTTTTTTGTCTATTTGAATATGGGTTTCAGTACAAATATATAATTTAAATAAGGTAAATTTTTTTTTGTAAATAAAACATAAATTATAATTATATATACATAATATTGAATTCATGTATATATATTATGCATATATATAGAATGTTTGTGTATGCATATAGATATTCATAGAACATTTTATATATGTATAAAAATGAGACTTATTTAATAATAATAAATAATTTTAATTTATATTTAAATAGTGGTAGAAATAAAGCGAGGCATATTTTATATTAACTTCTTTTTGTTTTTAATATCTTCCAAAGATGTTCCATAAATATATAGATAAATATATAAATGTTAAAAAAGAGAACGCATTTAAAAAAAAAAAACTTATAGTACTCAAGAGGAGAAAAAAAAAATCCAATCAATATAAGTTCTGTAATCAATTCTTTCAAAGTACAATCGACTTTTATCATTGACAACTATTCGAAAGGATTAATTTTTTGTTTCTCTTAATGAATATTGAAATTATGAAAGTTCTTAAAATGGACCATTTGTTTTAACTTTGTATTAATACAATCAATACTTATATGTATATAATGTATACTTATTGCATAAATATGATGATATTTATGTTACTATTTTAAACAATATTTTAAACAAAATATGTATATAAACAATATATATGTATATATATTTTGTAATAACAATTGAATATATTTTTTAATATATTTAAATGTTATTATCATAAATTCCTTTCATTTTCAATATTTATTTATAGTTTATTCATTCACGGACTTTCTAAATTCTGAAATAAATATAGTTTCATATTGATCATATTATACATAATAACACATTATTCCATATATATTACATTATACATAATAATACAGTATTAAAAAAAAATAATAATTTCAGATATTGAAGATTTATAGAAAAGCAAAAAATGTTCAATCAACATATCTTACAATTAATTTTTATCATTGACGAACATTTGATATCATAAGTGAATTTCTTCATTGAATCTAAACATTTAATTCAGAAAAATATTAATTTAAAATCAAATCACAAATTATGTATTAAAATATTTTTATGTTGTATATATTTTTATGTAATATATATATATATTATAAATTTTCTTAATAATTACTTTTTATTTTGTTTATCATTTGTCTATCATTTTTTGAAACTTATGTTGATTAGATATTTTTTGTTTTTGGTTTTATAAGCCTTTAAAGTGAATTTCATTTTTAATATCCTATGTATATTATTTATAAGTATATATAAGTATATTATTTATAAGTATATATAATATGGGACAGAAATCATTTTTTTATTTTATTTAAAATAAAATACTATAAAATATCAAATATGCTTATTTAAATATTTTATACATAAAATTATGTATACGATCTCGTTTTTAAAAGATTAAATGAATATATAATATTTCAAATTAATTAATGTTTATTTTGAAATAATATTAAATATTATTTATTATATATTATATATTATATATCATATATTATAATTGAAATAATTAAGAAATAATTTTTTTTATTGAAATAGTTAGTTATTATAAGAAAACTAAAAAATAAAAAATAAAAAAGCAACAACAAAATCAAAAGAATATAATTTTAAATTAAATTAATTAAATTAATTAAATTTTTGGTGAAAAAATTTTCTTTTGATGGTCTAACAAATAATTATAATATTGCATTGTTTTGTAATAAAATATTTCAGTATATTCTGTTAATTAAAAATCGTAATTTAATTTTTAATAGGTCTTTTAGCGATTTCCGCGAGTGAGGAGACGATTTTAAATGCAGCTGAAAAAACAAAAGCCTCCCCAGATGATACAGACGATATTATCATGTTGGAAATCGATGTCAAGGAACCTGTAAAAAGATCACCGATTTCAACCTCTGCTGAATATGGTTCTCCATCTAATCAATACATTCTTCAATCAACTGATAATACTCAAGAGGTAGTAATTTGTTATTATTTATATAATTTATAATTCTATATTGCTGGTAATGTTTTTATAAGATATTACCTAATTGAAATGAGATCGATGTTTGATTTTCATTTAATTTTATATCTAAATGCATTAAAAGAGAAATATTTTTGTTTTGTTGTTTGTATATTTTTTCAATAATTTTTAATAATATTTTTGTTCATTTTAATAAGTAATAGGTAATGCATCTTTTATATATTCAGTTTCATTCAATTTTTAATAAAAGTTAGCTCAAATTTAAATGAAAACGAAATAGTTTATATTTTCATGTAATATGATATACAATATATAATTTTTTTATAATAGTATAATTATTTTAATTATAATTATACTTATAATTTTAAATTTTTAAAAAACAATTGTAGAAATTTATATATACAAATAAATACTTTTAAATGTAATAGAATTATTAATGGTGAAATAAATAAATTCAAATCCATTCAAGAATTTTACGAATGCTAACAATCATATTAAATAATATCAATGTATTCATTTTTGTTATTCTTAAAGAAGAAATTTCTTGAAAATATCACATTATTGCTCTCGGTCAACCGTGACTATTGGCCGCCAATCACCAACTAACGTAGCGAATGGCTACATAAATAGTAAAGAACAGAACATTTTTCTTTTCTGTTAGAACGGAGAGTCCGCCTTTACAAACTAGATATTGTGTTGTAACCAACAATTGCAATCAATCTAATTCCATTAATGTCGTCACTAACAATTGTCATTTTTATCTTCTGTCATCTGCGAAAGCTAAAATATATAGAACAATTATCCAATTCTTAAAAAAATTATGATAATTTTATACTTGTTATATTTGTTTGGAAACATATGTTTAATCAAATTTTAATTCAATTTAAATTTTAAATTCATGTAGCTCTTAATTTTAAACTTAATAGATTTTAATTATTTCTTTTTTAAATATTTAATTTAATTTCAAACTAATGATATGCATATTTGATTCGTTAAATAATAATTTAAAAATAATAATTTAAAAAATTTAAATAATAATTTAAAATAATAATTAGCAAATAATAAAATAAATTAAATTAATAAATTAATAAATTAAATAAATTATTCGTTATTATTAATTATTATTAAATATATAATTGACAAATTAAATAAATTATATGTAGTTATTATAATAATTATGTTGTTAATACAATGATTATTATTCAAAAATATTTATATTACTTATTAAATTGATTATGTTTATTTTTCTTATTTTTTTTTATTATTTTTCTGATTATTTTATCTTTTTAATAATGTCAAATCGTAATAGAGTGATTTAACTTTTGAGATAAATATATGGAATAATATATTAAATAAATATTAAATAAAAAAAAATTAAATATTATTCATAATTCAAAGAGGAAAAAACAAATAAGAATGAATCATTGATGTTAATGTTTTAGTTCTGGAAATAATAATTTTAAGTCTCCTCAACATCTACACTCGTCCATGCCGTTTCAACGTATTAAACACGATCATGCTTTCTTGCATAACTTTTACCTTCTAATCGGTTTGCCAGACGAAACCGGTAATACCACGCCCAATGATTGAAAGTATATCCGTCTACAAGTCTTGCATCTGGTAGATACATTCTCTATGTGATGCATGCTTTTGTTTCCCGTTACAATCATAAATTACTTGGGAAATATTTAGCTTATTTATAGATTATTAAAGAATTCATTCATAGAAAAATTTTTAACTTATAAAATTTTATTTAAAAGTATTGAAAATTATGTGCAAATAAATAAAAATCATATATGAAATGTAAAAAGTATTAATTAATTGATTGTTTGAAATGTTATAATTTATAATGTAAAATTTTTTTTATTAATAAATATGCTGATACTAATATGAATTATAAATTTATAATTTACATATAGAAAAAATCATAAATTTATTTCATTTATTTATTATGATATATTATAAAATATTTTAGATATAAAGAATGAAATTATTGAAAATTATTAATTATGAACATTATTAAATATAAATAATAAACAATTATTAAATT